AATAATCAAACCTTTGTTTAACTAAGACTGTCCAACTAGGAGAGATTAGCAGCTCCCTCAGTTATTGACATTGCTCCACTGTAACTTCCTGGGACCGATGAGAGGCACAGTTAAGCTGTTCTTCCCAAGATTTTCTGTAGTGGGTCAGGATAGGTCATTAATCAACTTAACTTCAAGGCCACACTGCATCCTAGGCCAAATGTTCACTTCACAGTCTATTTTCCATCAGAAATTATGCCTAGTCATATTGCCCAAAATTGGTCAACAGAGATTACTTTTGAATAAAACAACAGAGTGGCTGAAAATGGAACAATGTGAAGCCTTTCCCATTATTAAATTGCCAGGGAAATTCAAGTTCAAAATGAATTCCTCTTCCTATTGTCAACTGAACTCCAAAGACCTTAAAGCGCAAGATACTCTGCTTTCTCTAGTTTCCTGATCTTTTCAGTCCCTGTCAGAGGGCGCTCCCTCAAAGGCCTTGGGATTTAGGCTACTTCAGCAGCTGCTGCATCTTCTTCCATTACAATGGGTGTAGCACCTTTAGTACCTTCAAAATTGAAGTAATCCACCCAAATCTCTCGTGTCTCAAAAATGCAGAAGCAGATGTGACTCCTGTAATAACAGTATTTTGAAAACAAAATGATGTTCCTAGAGCCTAATGTCTAAACTCTTGTTGCTATGGCCTATCAAAGACTTCAGCAGGCTTATTGTTCTTTTGGGTAAGAATAACAATGTAGAGGAAACAAAAATGAAGAGAGAACATCTTCTTGGTTTCCTTCTTACCAGGATGTCTTTTAGAACATGTCTGTTTTCCAACTGCTACATGTGAATTTAAATTTAGTTGGGATAAATTTCTCATCAAGAGGTTAATTGTGACATTATGTTTCAATAAGGACATAGCAGACTTCCTATACAACATGTTCATCCTTTCCCTAAAAAGCCCCAATTTTTTCTAGGGACCTATATCCCCTCCAACCCGTTCACTCCAACTGAAGCTGTAAGAGTAAGTCTGATTGATCTAAGAGTAATCCCCCTCACCCTTGCCAGAGGTTAATTCAAGGATGGGAATAGGGCCTAGTTAATTACAAAGAGATTTGAGGAGGTTTTCAGTGCTAGCATCTCCAATGTCTATAACTTATTCAAGTCTTCCTCTTTTTCTCAGTTTCCTCGCCATATTTTGAATACTTCTATTTCCATTTCCCTTTTGAGTCAGGATCATAGTGGGGTCTAATGTGTCCTCTGACATGTGCTGTCCACGTAAAGCCCCACTTCCTTTAGCTTTCAGATTCTCCAGCCCTTGGGTTACTTGTGCTACCTCATGCATCACTTTCTGCCATTTCTTTCTCTACTGCTGACTCCTGTTCTATTTCTTTCTATCATTCACTACTCCTTTCAAGGAGGCCCAGATGACTTTTTAAATTTTAACCTGCTACTTAAGTGAATCCAATTATTCATCTAGCACAGGTAACTTTCAACGGCTGCCTTTTTGTCTTTTTTCCCCACTAGGCCTATGCATTTATTTTCTTACCTACTCCATAGATTCTTGAGAGTCTCCTATTTAAAAAAAAATCTGTATCTACCACAAGATCCTCAGCTAAAATATTGAGTGGAGAAATTCTACATAAGAGGTCTCCTCCCATTGGTTTCAACCCATGTTTAATCTCTACCGATTGTTGTTCTGCTTCTTTCCTTTGGTAGTGTCCTATTTGTGTATTTTAAAAATTTTTCTAATGCTATTCATTTTCTAGCCACTTTTTCTTAGAACAAAAGCATACCTGGCTAGGCATGGTGGCTCACTCCTATAATCTCAGCACTTTCAGAGGCTGATGCAGGTGGATCACTTGAGACCAGGAGTTCCTGGCCAAGAGCGGGAAACCCTGTCTCTAGTAAAAATACAAAAATTAGCTGGGCATGGTGGCATGTGCCTGTAATTCCAGCTATTCAGGCAGCAGAGGCTGCAGTGAGCTGAGATAGTACCACTGCACTCCAGCCAGGGTGACAGAGCGAGACTCGGTCTCAAAAATAAAAATAAAGAAATAAAAATACAAAAATTAGCCAGGTGTGGTATGCATCCATAATCCCGACTTGGGAGGCTGAGGCAGGAGAATCACTTGAACCCAGGAATTAGAGCTTGCATTGAGTTGAGATCAGGTGACAGAGCACTCCAGCCTGGGTGACAGAGCAAGACTCCATCTAAAAAAAAAAAAAAAAAGCATACCTGCTTCCCCCACATACAATTTCTATGTAATCTTAAAATTCATTAAGGCTTGGGAGATTGCAGTGAGCCGAGATTGCGCCACTGCACTCCAGCCTGGATAACAAAGTGAGACTTCGTTTCAAAAAAAAAATCGTCAGAGCCTGAAATAACACCACCACCACCAACAGTAACAATAATGGCCAGCAGTTTACTCAGCCCTGACTATGTGCCAAACACTGTTCTAAGCACTTTGTAGGTATTAATTTGTTTGATCCTCTTAGCAGTCCCACAAAATGAGGACTACTATCACCTCTGTTTTACAGACGCAGAAACAAGCACAGAGAGGTTAAGGAATTTGCCTAAGGTAAGTGGCAAAGCTCCCTGTTGGTTTTCCACTGTCATATCTGCCCAAACTTCTGTCACCTACCAGTCCTTCTCTAACGTAATATGCTTTTATTGTTTTGGCCTAGTTTTCTTTCAACTCTTAGAAATTGGGCTCTGGTCTTAAAAAACAAAAATAAAGATTTACCACTGTCTATCACAGTCCATCCTAAAACTTTAACATAATTAATTTCTTTTAATAAGGCTCTGTCAGTATTATTCCACAGGGAAAGGTATTAAATTTAGATTCCATAATTCTTTAAAGATAACTTCTGGGTATCATTGGATTGCATGCTTACCAGGGTTCCCCAAATTTAAATCCTTAGTTCCAACTTAATTTTCACCACCTGATAAAAAATTATCTGGGCATGTACTAAAGAATGAATTTTTACAGCTTAGTGAGATAAGTCATTCATACTCTAACAAGAATATTTTAAACAGAGCTGGTTATTCCTGCAGGGAAACCATATTCAGATCAAACTAATTTTTTAAATGACATAAAAGGAGTGAGCAGCTTTGAGGTGTCTTATGTAACTGATAAGTACTGATGGCTTGGGACTAGATGATAGAATGACAGAGGAAAGGGAAGCTGAATCTTTGAAATGGTAAAATTATAATTTAAGAATCACAGTAAATATCACCTGCCAGGTATTAAAATGATTAAAGAGCTTATTTTTTCCACAGTGCTATTGTGATAGGTTTTATAAACAGATAATTTTAAGTACACTAACCTGTTAAGCACCAGTAATTAGTTGAGAAAAACAAACACAAATGTTCTTGAAGAGAGAGCAAACCCTGAGGGAATTCAGTCCTCTGAAATTATGCTATTACTGAAATAATTCTGGGTGACTCCTACCCCCTCAAAAAAACCTTTAAATTTTTATCCTGTTTTCTAACATATATAACTTTTATGACAGCTAATTGACAGAATTATTTACTAATATGGGTGGATCTGCCTATGGATAAAACCTTCCAGGTTATTTTGTGTTCTCACCAGAAGAACTCAAAATATTGTCTACAATGCCTCTGAATGGAAAGGGCACTGGATTGGCAGGCAGTGGCTTTGCTACCAAATAGTTATGGTTTTGTTGTCTCACTTCTTTGGACTGTAGTTTCCTAATCTGTTGAATACAGAAATGAGATTTAATGATCTCCAAGGTCTGTCCTAACAACTTTTAAGTTTCACAACTGAGTTGAGTTTGAACACTTTTTCACAAAGACGGCTTTAACATTTAATGCCATGAAATAAACTAAACATATGTAGAAACCAGGATGTTGAGATAGGATAAGATTTTTTAATACATCTCAATAGATGTTCCATTATTGTTACTGGGTTCTCTCTTGAGCACTTCATCAGCTATCAGGGCACCAAGAAAGGGAGCAGAAGAAATGCCAAAGCTCGAAAAGGAAGATAATACAGTACATAAGGAAAGTTCCTGACATCCAGCAAGGAAAAAAATCCATTCCTTAAAATCCTGGGGGATAATGGAAAGAAAAGGGTACAAGGAAGAGGTAATTAGACCCAGTGTGCTTACCTTCTATTCCCTCTCAGGGTGGAAATGAGAACTGAAGGTATGTAGTTCACATATGCACATAGACATAGGGAAATCCAAGAAAGTTGGTAGTTTGCTTCCCTGGGCATGTCTCTGAAACACCAAGACCTCTAGGAGTTCTCCTTTCAGCCTGCCAGCATGTTCAATATCACATAGGGAGAAAAATGCAACATTGTTGGACGGTGGCTCAATGACTAATAAGCCCAAAGCAAGGCTCCTGGCTCAAGTTGGCCTACATATGCTATTCAGGGAATCCACAAGTACCCATGTGTCTCAGTGAGAACCATGGATCAAGGGATCAAGGGACCTGTGGAGACTTGGGGTCAATACAAAGAAGTTGTAGTGTATAGGGCAAATGGCTTATGTATGAATCTCAGCAAAGGAAATCAGCCTCAAAAGAACAGAAATGACCAGTTTTATCAGTAACAATGATAAATGACAGTGGCTGCCATCAGACAATACCAGCCACTCCCTACCAGAAGACAACATAAGGACTGGCATTAGGGGCTTAGATGCCCTTGTAAATCTCCCTGTCCCTCAGGGATGCTGCCTGCCCACCAGTCACTGTGGGAATTCAAAAAAGGTGCTCCTTTTCTCAAGACACTTTACTACCATCTATCAGGAAATTGTCATAATATACTGATTTTGCTAAAACAAGGCATTTTACTACCATATGCCAGAGAATGTTGTAATAATTCCCCACCTCTTCTCCTGCCCCGGAGCTCGCTGTACATGCGCGTGCGTGTTGGAAATCTAAGGTATGTAAAAGATACCCCTTACATACAACAACCCTATATCCCCCCATTAATATCATGGAAGGAGAGAGAGTTGGGAAATAAAAGCTGAAAGACAGAAGTTATGGTGTTTTTTTTTTTTAATTGAGACAATATGGGGACTTAAAGTTAAAATTACAGAAAATAAACAAGTTACATTTTCTTTACATCTGAATTAAGTAAACCTTCAACTCTGCTACACCAAAATACAAACTCTTTATTCCCAATATTTTTCTTCTATTAGTATTTCCCATAACACCTTACATACATATTAATGCATACATGGAAGGAGCCAATAAGTACTTGTTAAATTAAAAAGTAAATTTTTAGAAAAATAAAAAATTATGGACACACTTATGTATATTATCATGTAATTCTCCTGTACTTTTACTTCTCCCCTATGTTTATTTGAACAAACCTAAAATTGTACCCATTTGCACCTAGCTAACAACCATAAAAATTTGAAGTTCTCCAGCTGTTTTTGACAGCTGTCCTCCTCAAATTTTTTTTGAGAAACAAACATAGATCTATGTTTCTCTATTTTTCTGGACTAAAGAGAGATCATCTCAAAATAACAGAACCCTTAAAAACTGAAAACAAGATCATGTGGTCTAAAATAAGTACTTATTTAAACTCGGGAGGTGAGGGGGGACCTGATATCTAGAAAGGTGAAGTACTTTGCCTGTAGTCACACACCAAGGCTGGGACTCAACACACTGCACAATACAGGCCTGCCTCTTTGCGTCTCTCCCTCCTCCCAAAATATACTTTCCTCCCTCTCAGCTTTCCCTTATCATGCTTTGTAGTTGCTTAATTATCGATGTCAAACCAAGACAGCAACTGATGACACTCGAACCAGAGACATCACCCAAAGTTCTGAAAACCAACTGCCAGTTTTACCACATCCAAAAAATGCAAAACAAAAGAGAGAAGATGGAGAACCAATAAACAGTACATTTTCAGTCATCGTTAACAGTAGCAAGGGAATAAAAACAAGTTTTCCTTGGAGAGAGATTATGTTGGGGGCATCAGATAGAAAGGTAATTCCTCTTGAGGGTTTTTGTTTTCCTTGGAGTTTGTGGGACCTGAAAGAAAATTAAAAAGTAAATCACATAAACAATCACAACATCAAAAAACTTACTTCTCTCCTCTCACATAATTATTTTCCCGAACATTGTATACACTTCTTCAAAGAACAAGTCAAATTGGCCAAAGGTCAAAGCCTTTTCAAGGTTTAGATGATCTACGATTAGGAACCGATTCCAAACTTCGGTTACCAAGCCCAAAGCTCAGAGAAGGAAATCTCCAGTGTTTGCAAATACCCTCTGCTTGGCTAAAGGGCACGAAATCTCTAGCGCTCCCTACAGCTCAGATTTTGAACCCACCTACCACAGAAAACCCGAGTTACCAGATTGGCTCCCTCGTTCCACTTTTTTTCAGCTCAAAAAATCGGGTGAAGATTGGGGTGGGGGGGAGGCTGAAACGGTGAAATGAAGGATTAACCACTTCTCCCCATTACATCAGCAACCCCCGCCCTTTCCTCCGAGCACCTCCTCTCCCAGAATCGTCGCTACGCACTGGCGCTCTCTTCGCCCACCCCCAGCTCTATTATATGCCCTGATACCTCCCCATTATCACCCGCCCCGCCACACTCCCCCTTTCCTCTTTCCCCCTCCTAAGCGGGGGAGGGAGGAAACCCGAGAGAGGAAACAGGGCGTTGAAAGGACTTCGCGATAAGAGCGGAGGCCTTATTGGCCAGAAGGTTGTACGGGCGCCTTCCATTGGCCGCCTGGCCGGAATCCCCGCCCCTCTTCTCCCCGCCCATTTACCCCTCCCCCAGCCGCCCCGCGGCCCTCCCCCGCGCCCCCGGCCAGCCCCGCGGCGGGGAGGGACGGACTGGGCGAGTAGAGGCTCCGGCGGTGTCAATGGCTCCTCCTGCCACGGAGCAGCAGCAGAAGCCGTGGCGACGGGGCTGAGAAGGAGGAGGAGGAAAGGCTCCTTTAAGGAGGAGGAACGACGACGCCTCTTTTTCCCCCTATCTCCTCCCTTCACACTCATTTCCCCTTCGCCGAGGAGAGAAGGGGGGAGGAGAGAGAAGAGGCCGAAGAAAAAGAGAAAAAATTCCTCACAGAAATTTCTTTCAGGGGGTGTGGGGGGGAGGAAGAGGGGTAAAAAAGAGCCGGGCTCCCCCTGCTCCCTCCCTTCTCTCCCTCTCTTCTTCTTCTCCCTTCTTCACCCGCCCGCCCACTCCCCCCGCCTCCGGAGACGCCGCTCGCGAGTCGGCGGGACCGGGATCTGTCTCCTCAGCCGCCGCCGCCGCCGCCGCGCTTCGCCTCAGGATCCCCAAGCGGCGGACGCCCTTTCTTTCTTTCTCGCTCTGCCCGTCTTTCTGTCTCCGTCCCTCGCGGCCGCCCCGCCCGGCGGCCTCGGCCTTCCCCGTGCGTCAGGCCCGCCCGGCCGGCCTCGCTCGGTCTCCGTCTGTCTCCCCGGGCCTTTCTCCGGACTCGGGGTCCCGCTCGCCCCCTCCGCCCTCAGCGTCTCCCCTTCCCCTCGCCCCCTCTCCTTCCTCCCCCCTCTTCCACTCTCCCCACCCCCTTCTCCTGCCTCGGAGCTCGCTGTGCGTGTGCGTGTGTGTGTCCCTCCGCCAACGCCGCCACCTCAGCTCGGCAAATGAACTCCGTCCGAGCCGCCAACCGGAGACCCAGGCGAGTGTCGCGGCCGCGCCCGGTGCAGCAACAGCAGCAGCAGCCCCCGCAGCAGCCGCCGCCGCAGCCGCCTCAACAGCAGCCGCCCCAGCAGCAGCCTCCACCACCGCCGCAGCAGCAGCAGCAGCAGCCTCCGCCGCCGCCACCGCCGCCTCCGCCGCTGCCTCAGGAGCGGAACAACGTCGGCGAGCGGGGTAAGGCCGCGCTCCCTCCCAGCCGCCCGCCGGTCGGGGCACCGGGGGAAGGGAGGCCCGGGCGGGCGGGGGCGGCCTGCGCGCCCTGGGGGTGGGAGACCCGAGCTGAGCGGAGGCGGGTCCCCCGGTGCCGCAGTGTCAGCCCGGGCCAGGCCCGGCCGGCAGGAAAAGCCGCGGCTTCCCCACTCGCCCGGGTTCTCGCTCAGGCCGCGCTTTGTTTGGTTTCGGGGGCTCGGCACCCTCCACCCCCACCCATCCCTTTGGTTTCTCGGCTCGCTCGCAGACCCCGCAGGAGTCTGTTGGTGGCCGGGAGGAAGGCGAGTGGCGTGATTTCTCCCTTTTCTGCCGCCTTCCATGGTTTAGTCTGCCTCTTTCTAATGGTAGGTGGGGGGAGCGACTGGGAGCGATCGGGCGGTGGGGTTGGCTGGGGAACTTGTTTTCCCCCTTTTTCCTGTGCTAGCTTCCCCCTTCCTGGGGAGGAGCGGGAGAGGGGAATCGGGGTGGTCTGTAGTGTTGGCCGGGGAACTTGTTTCCCCCGCCCCCCCTCCCTCGTCACGGGGTAGGGGGAGCAGCGACTCCTCTCCCAACCCCACAATGTTTGCTGCGCAGTTTGCCTTTAGTTACAGAACCCCTGGGAAGGATCCGTTAAATCAAGACCTTTAAATAAATAAATATAGAATCCATCGGCCATTTCCACCCCCCTCCCTCATGTGCAGTGCAGTTACCTTTCCGCTCTATCGACACCCCCTCGCCTGTCCTCCCCTAGCGACCCCCCATTGCCGCGGTGCTACTCTCCGTTTCCTAGTGGGGTTTGATCGCCCCTTCCTTAGAACTGACCCCTTGGGATAGTGTGTGTGTATGTGTGTGCGCGCGCGTGCGTGTGTGTGTTGTGTCCAAGGCCTAGTGAAATGTGTCATTTGGACCCAACTGTGCAGCACTGTCTGGTAACCACCATTGTCTAAGGGCTGAGGCTCCCCGGGGTTGAATTCCTGCTTTAGCAAAAATAATGTTCAGTTCTACTCGGATGATGTGGTTATTTTGGGAGATTTATGAGGTGGGGGTGTTGCACCTTGGTCTCCAAACATAAACATTCTCTTTATTAATTAGCTGTTCGCAGTAGGGGTGGAGGTCAGAACCGTATTTATGTGTATGGTTGTTGTTTTAAGGAGGAGGAGAATTGTTAGGAGACATTTTGCGTGTTTTAGTTGGTGGATTAAGGTTAATTTTATATGCGTTGGTTGTCACACTTCCATTGATAAGGGGATTGAAATTAAAGGTTTTTAAAAATTATACATTATTTCTTTAAAAACGGTTTCATTGTTGTACTTGATCAAAATATTTAACAAATGAAGGGAGATGTTAATCGGAAGATAGTTTAAAGGGTTTTCACTAAGCACTGTTAAAGAGTCTTAGAGAAAGCAGTGTGCTATATGTTACTTGAAAGAATGTGATGTTTCAAGGCAGAGATCTTGTGCAACATAATTGGTAAGTGTGTTTTGTTTTGTTTCGTTATACATTTACCATTTTGGGGGTAAATTTAAAAAAATCTGTAGTCTCATTATTTCCTTTCACATGTGTATCAGAGTTCTTCTGATTCCATTCAAATAATGTTCGTCTTCTTCCAGAATTGGCACTGTATGTGTAGTACAGTTGACAAATTTTTTTTGAGAAAACAATGACACTCGATTCAAATTCTGCCATTTAATATTAAGGATTCTCTCACTACAGTAAGCTTTTTCAAGATGTGGTGATTGGTTAATAACATTAGCATTGGATCAAAACGTGTCAGGCAAACCTAATTTAGTCCCATTGTGCATTTTAAAATGTTTATTCTGAATTTTCATTTCAAGATTTGTGTGTAATTTCAAACTTAGTTGATGTAATTTTCTCTCGGACACTTTTATTCGTTTGTTCAAAATTATCAGCTACTGAGGTCTATTTCCATTTCTATTTGAAGTAAAGTGACTTGGTTGTCGGCAGTCACATGCCAGCGTGTCAGTTTTCTTCTCATTGATGTCCATAAACTGTCAAAAGTATTCATGAATCCAAATTTCCGTATGTACCCAACCAAATGGTAAATGAAATTCACTGTGGAATTGTTTCTCTGCAGCTAGTAGAAACCGTTCTGGAGCTTCTGTGTTGGCACAGAGGGGAAAAGAACTTTAGGGAAAATAGTATGAGTCTTTCAGAGGGCACATAAATGGCCTTAAATTGCATAAAACAGTAAGATGAATTAGTAAACTACAATAATAAAGATGTTGCCAGTCATATGTAAAAACGTTATTCTTTGAAAGTTTGTCATTTTAATGACATTTTTAAAATGTCTGATTCATATAATGATCAGAAGTTAGCTAAGAATATTTTAAAAGTTTTATGGAGCATGCAGTCACTTTCTAGTTTGTAAAGGAGGGATTTTGTTATTTGTTAAAGATATGCTGGATTTAATCATTGTAAGATAAAGAACTAAAACAAGTGTTTGTATGTGTGATGTTTTTATTTTTATTTTTATTTTTATTTTACCTTTTACTATTAATGGATATGTAACTCTTGTGTTAGGATCTTGGATAGAGTTACATAATAGTAGATCAGACAACTTTTCAGATAGGGAATCAAAGTGAGACATGCTGTTTTAAGACAAACCAGTTCAGACTGTATATAAAATCATTTCTTTTATATAAAGATGTATTTTAGGTTCTTTAGTGGTAATAAAATAGTTACAGTATGTTTTGAGGCAAAAAGTCTGTCAGAATAGTTTTTAGCTGCTTACTTGCCCACAGGTTAATTGGTATAAAAACTTCCTTGACAACACTTTTAAACGTATTTACATACACATACACATGTGTATATGTATTTGTGTGTATATTTGTATTTATGTGTGTGTGTTGTGTGTGTGCATACATTATGTATGTGTTTGCGTATACACTTTCTTTTACATGTGATGACCAGTGTTTGAAGAAGAAAGAAACCAGACCCTACTGATTAAAATCTTATGAGGATTTTTCAAAGCTTTCCATGAGGGAGCATTTCTTACACCCCGCGTAAGGAAATATTGGCCTGGATATTTCATGGAACGTCGTGTTCAGTTGTTATCTAAAATGATCAGCTACCTTAAAACTAAATACTAGACTAATCATTTGCTTTTTTAATTTCTTAAATTCCTGAGTTTGGGCTTTCATGTACCACATTAAGCTAGGAGAATTGTATTTTACAGAACGGGTACGGTGGCTCATGCCTGTAATCCCAGCACTTTGGGAGGCTGAGGCGAGTGGATCATGAGGTCAGGAGTTTGAGACCAGCCTTGCCAACATGGTGAAACCCTGCCTCTACTAAAAATATAAAAAAATTAGCCAGGTGTGGTGGTGGGCACCTGTAATCCCAGCTAGTCAGGAGGCTGAGGCAGGAGAATCTCTTGAACCTGGGAGGCAAAGGTTGCAGTGAGCTGAGATGACACCATTGCACTTCAGCCTGGGTGACAGTTCAAGACTCCGTCTCAAAAATAAAAAAAAAATTGTATTTTACATAGTGACAATTTGGTAATATATTTTAGGATTTAATGAAACAGTAGTGTGGGATTGGAATTTTGATATTCGTTTTGTTTTAAAATTCTAAAAGGAGTTAGCTTTTGCAGCCTGTTCTGGTGAATTTGTCGTCTTTACTGTAGGAATTTATTTTATAATATTTTTTAGGCATATGAGTAAAGTTTACAAGTCTACAGAAGTGCCGTGTGTTCTCATCAGTAATTTTAAGTTGTTAAAACTAATTACTTTGAACCAAAATTGCACCACTGTACTCCATCCTGAGTACAGTGACCGAGACTCCATCTCAAAAAATAAATAAAATAAATTACTTTGAGTAGGTTATATTTCCACATAGTCTAAAATGGAAGTCCCCTTTGTACA